CACAACAAATTCCTCATACACCACAAATCATGGACAAACGAACCCTTAAAACACACATAAACTAATGTGGAAAAACTCATTGGTTTATATTCTGCGGATGCTATAGTCACAAAAGGAATGCACAATATTAATTTTCAACTCTCAGCTCATTGTATATACACTGTAACAAACCACAGGCACCTGATCCAGCAGTCATTATGAGCGTGTGTGTGTCCGTATCAGTGTGTGTTGAAAGAGAAGACAATGGTATTTGTCAGTCTACATCCTATTTTCCCCATTTGGTCATTAAGCCACAGACAAGTTCATCTCACGACCTGCGTGTGTGAGGAATTAACACTCGCACACTGAAAAACACCTCCTGGGTTCCGGAGGATTCCAGCGGTATGGGAAAAACAGGAAAAATCTGCGCTCTCCTTCCTGCCCAATGACCCTGTTTGTATGACACAGGAGGCAGTTTAGGTGCAGGCAGTAAGTCAGTGGCTCCGTCTCATTGTCTCGGATATGGTTACATCACTACAGTTCTGCATGCATTGGGGGATTATATTGTGAATGGGAGATTACTGTCATTGTTTTCTTTCAGATTAGTCTCTCTATCTGCATTTAAAAACATAAATAAATAAATAAATAAATAAATAAAAAAACAGCCTTGTCATTGCAAAAACATAGATACTTTCTCTGTTCCAAAATGTAGTCAACTGCCTCGCTGCTTTCTAAGAGGTGATTCAAAGGACACGTTTTTGTGTTTAAAAACACGAGACACAGGGCAGTGGAGTTAAAAAAACCCCCCCGTAAGATCACCTTTTTAAGTTTAATTCCTTTTAACCGAAATGTCACATTTTTACTGTGGTGTGTCGTACAAGATGAAAGATAAGATGCAAGGTGTGAGCGCTAACACGTCTATCTACCTCATGTTTACATAGAAGCAGGGCAGAGAAATGATAAAACACGATCCGTGTGAACTGCCTCTAACAGTCATAGAAGCGATTTGGAACTTTCTACACAGGAAGCAACTTTCTGCCACAAAAAGTCAGACTCACTATTAATTTCTATGGAGTTTGGCATTAGCATGTTGCTATGCTAAAGGCCCATTCACACCAAGGATGATAACTATAACAATAATTATAAAGTATTAATAATCATATTAATTCTATGAGAATAGGGAAGTCCACACCAAGGCTATAATAATAATGACACAATGGAACGTTATTGTTGGAATCACTTTCAGAGCAATTTTTATCAGCTGATGAAATATATGATAAACGATAAAAATATTGACAGCACTTTTCGCAAAAAAAACCCCAAAAAAGTTATTTTTGTTATTCACTACTTTCTGGTATTGAATCAAGTTTTTTTTTTTTTTACTTTGCTCATTACAATGCATTTCAGGATTGCCTTATCTGTTAAAAATACATATGGTGCTGCCTTCGAATTTGGCTAAACAAGGTGTTTTAGGAGGAAGCATAATTTAGAACAACCTCCACATCATAAGCAATTTTGATCCCTTAAAATATTGCCTCTGTAGGCAGCGCACTACATTTTGGAAAAGAGAAAGTATCTATGCTTTTGCAATGGCAGGGCTTTTTTTTTAAAACAGAGATAAAGGGACTAATCTGAAAAGAAAACAATGACAGCAGTCTTTAATTCTTATCATTCATCACAAAAATGTGATTGAAAGTAGATTAGACCCAGAATAATTTATACTGCATTAACCCACAGGAGCTTATAATTCCTATTGGATATCCTATTGGACTTTAAGGAGTCATGAAAAACCTCTCCAAAATTATGGGCCATTTATGTTGTAAACAAGTGCATGAATTCTGCATGACTAATGCATATTTTCAACATAATTAAAAAGTATGTATGAGGTGAGTATGTATGACATTTCACTCAACTGGCAGCATAATAGCAGGCACTTATCAGAGACCGATCAAGCCTGAAGAGAATCAGGAAGTGAATATCAGTCCACCTGTCTTAAGAGGAAGTCAACAAAGCCGCATTCAAGCTGACTGACGTCAATCACAAGCCACCGCACCTGACAGGAACTCCTACTGACTGCATTTCTCATGCTCTTAGCTTCAGTAGAATGCCACTTACCACTTTTCTTCCGCATTACGCACTGAAGACCTGGTCCCTTTTGCTGTAGGCCGGACTTAATGCAGTATGGCCTGATTATTTACGTTCATTATTGATGTTACAAGTGCATTTTCAGCCTTTTACTGAATCTACTCAGTGTTACATGGAGCTGAACTCATGTCCCCTTTATACTTTTTCCTACTGGAACAAGAACATAAATGATACACACAGAGACAATATTCTATATCCCTTCTCTTCTACTCTATTTGATTTTTCCATCTTTCCTAAAAACATATTGTTTCAACTGTGAAAGCAGCATCCTAATTACAACCACCAAACCAGACTGTACAGGTCAAATACCAGCAATCTATAGTCTTTGTACTAACAGTTTGACCTTTTCTATACATTTTCGAGCATATTTTTCTTTCTATGACACAAATGTCCCCCAGAGTGCTTTCTGAAGTTCGTAAACATGTTTTATTTTGGGGCTTTTGCCATTTTTTATTCATACAGATAGTAGAGAGGACAAAGGGAATCATTTGGGGAGAGAAAATGTGATCAGGACTTATCACTAATCTTATTACTTTTTTAACACTGCAAAAATATTTTCTTTCTCGTTTTATTTATTTATTTGTTTTACAGTACAATGCTATACTTAAACAAGAAACAATACATGTCAATGGGGTAAGTGGGGTATCCTGATTTAAGAATGTTTAGATATTTTACAGAAAAACAAGACAAAATTACAGTGTACAGTACTCTTACACAAACTTTTGTCCAAGCTAATTTTGTTTCATAGCTTTTGAGTTAATACATAAGGTTGTGTTACAAGAATACAGTCAATTACATAATATTCTTGCTTTTCATTAAACAAAACCTGCTGAAGATTGCATTTTTATGAACACTCTTTTTTCTATTTCTCCTCTAAACGTGAACACTCTCTCTCTTATTATCCTTCAGAAATGACCAAGGTTTTCTTGACATTTCTAAGAAAACAGTTTGGGCTGTATAATAGAGGCTCCAGTGAATGGCCTTGTTCTGTTTAGTTAGCATAGATTACAGTTTTTCTGAAATCTCTGTCTGGCGTGTTCTCTGATATCACACTGGGAGCCATCCTCAAGGACAGAGAGTGAACTATGAGGAATTTTCCCACCCGTTATACAAAGCCTTCTGCTGAGGTAGGCCTGTTGTTCATTGTGTTATTATATTTGGCAGGTGTGCATGCATGTGAGAGACCAACACGTAGCAGCCATGGCCTTTTCCTATAGTCTAATACGTTCTGTGCAACTAGACAAAACAGCCACTAATATGGGCACCGTGCTTGTATGCGTGTGTATGTGAGTCTACTAAACATTTCAACACTGCCGGGCCAATCAGCAGAAGCTGTGGTAGAGATGACTGATGATGAGGGATACAAGAGGGCAACGGCGTGGGCAGTCACGTAGCATGGCAAGAGGTCTCTCTATCATTAAAAATGTACTTAAACACAGCACAGCAAAACACATGTTTACAGGCACACACACAAACACATGATCTTTAAGATGTTGTTATTTTAAAAGCATGGGAAATGCCTTTAATCTAAAGAGTAAATATTGAATATCTAGGATTTTACATGTTTAACCCAGAAAACAAAGCATTTTTTTTTTTTTGTATTTTGGAACATTTAAAAAGAAATGTTAGGAATTACCATGAATAGTCAATATTTGAAATTCTGCACTCACTTCATGCTTGCAGGAATAGTTCACCAAAAAAAATAGAAAATTTGCTGAAACAGATTTGGAGAAATTTAGCAATAAATCACTTGCTTACCAATATCTCCTCTGGAGTGAATGGGTGACATCAGAATGGTAGTGTAGCAAATAAAAACATCACAATGACAATTCACATGACTCCAGTCCATCAATTAACATCTTGTCAAGCGAAAAGCTGCATGTTCGCAAGAAACAAATCCATCATTAAGGCGTTTTAACTTTAAACGTATTGCCAATCCATAATTCATAATAACACTTCCTTCAGTGAAAAAGTCCATCCACTGTTGTCCTCTCATATCAAAATGCAGAGACATATTTGTTTGGAACTGTTTTGGACTGTTTCCACTTGTAAACGGTGCTTGATCTGTGCATAATGTTTTCCTGATTCAGATGATACAACTTTTTAAACAAGAAAAAGCAATATTAGGGATAGAGGACTAGTATTTTATATCATAGCAACAGTTTGAAGTTAAAAAAGTGATGTAAAAATTATGTAATTATTTCTTACACGCAGATTTTCACTTCAAACGACTTGATGGACTGGATTCTTGTGGATTATATTATCAGCTGTTTGGACTCTCATTCTGACGGCACCCATTCACTGCAGAGGATCCATTGGTGAGCAAGTGATGTAATGTTACATTTCTCCAAATCTGTTCCGATGAAGAAACAAACTCATCTAAAACTTGGATGGCCTGACGGTATATTAAAATTTTCATTTTTGGGCGGACTATTCCTTTAAATCAGTTTGCTGTTAGTATCATTTGTCATTTAAAAAAATCAGAAAAATGCCAAATATAAGGATTTTCACTAGTGGTCTATGATTTTTAGACCCCATTTTCAAAGGAAAAAGGAATAAATCCTGCACACTTTCCCTACTTGCAAATGTATCAAAAATAGATTTATTCACAGCGTTTCGGTCCTATGACCTTCATCAGGCATACACGACACTGATGAAGGTCATAGGACTGAAACGTTGTGAATAAATCTATTTTTGATACATTTGCAAGTAGGGATAGTGTGCAGGATTCATTCTTTTTTGTTTTGATGTTTGACCTGTTTTTGGTCTTTTATCCTATGCACCTATTGATCACCTACAGGTGTGCGAGGGTAATTGTTGATTGATTGGACCCTATTTTCAATACATTTATACAGGCGTGAAGTTATAGGACTTACCAGGTAGGCACACTCTGGTGATGGGGGGCTGGTTGGACACAGGGGACCTCCTGCTAGAGGAAATGTTGAAGAATTACTGAAAATGCAGCTGAATAAATACAAACAAACAATTATGACACAAGCAGAAAACCCCTGCAATTCAAACACTTCTGTGTGCCATTCTTTTGCGTCATCTATAACTGTAACAGGATGCATAATGCCAAAGCACAGAGCATATTTCCACATTAAAGAAGAATGAAAGAAGCTCTTTTCAAGCCTGTGCATTTTGCAATATATTTTTTTTCTTAAGTGCATCATGGATTTGATGTGACACTGCCCTTTAATACAGACATATTATTATGATATCACAGGGTGTGTCCTCTTTTCCGCACATACTTCCGTAGAATTTCCCTGCAAGTTCATCTGAACTGGGTTGCCCTTGGACAGACTAGTGAAGAGCCCAACAAAAGCCTCTAACAGTGCGGTATAATTGCCCTGACGTAGATTTATGGTTATTTGGAAGGGCGAAATAGTTCTTCCATGAATAACAGCAAGTAAACACCTTTTTCCCCATTTACCCTCATTGCTCAGGTGGAAAAATGGAATTTTGGGGCATGTGGAGATCTTGAAAACTGGTGACATGTTAAGTGGAAAATGGCTCTAGTAAAATGTCAGTGTGCATGGGTGGCCGAGTCCATAAAACAAATGATTGGAAAGACTCCCCTCTTGTGGTTGCTCTTACAAACAACAGAGTGGACTGTCAAAAAGAAAAATAATTAAAATGTCTACATATATTTAATTTTTATAAAAAAATATAATAATAATAACTATAAATATTTTTATATAAATTAACACTAATATTACTACATTATATAAAGCCTATTTATTTTATAAATGTACATTTTATAAAGCTTAACTTATATTAATCACTTCATACAATACAAGTGTGCTATTTGAGCTTTTAAGACTTTTAGCAGCATTAAGAAAACTGTTCCAAGCTTTTATTTGGTCTGTGCTACTGACGTAATCCCTGTTGGTGGAGTTTGGTTCATGTAAACAGTATTTTGTGGATAGTTAACTTACATCATATTCTTCTCTGGTTTCATTGCATGTATCATGTGAAAGTGACAAGGTTTGGTAGTTTTATATTGTCAAAGGAGATAAAAAATAGGATTTAACTTTCCGTGATTTTATTCTTCAGGCTAGTAAGAAATTCTATTACACGAGTCTCATGTAAACATGTATAAAGTTTTGTGGTGTAATGTCTAATACAGTGAGTATTTTAATTTAAAATTTTTATTACAATACAATGCCTTGCCCCGTAGACACTGATTGTAAGTCCATTACTGCATGTGCATCTTTTTTTAAACTGTGGGACAAGCCTACATGTTTTTGCAAACATTTCTGCAATCAACAGAAAAAATGTCATTATTATTTTTTGAACATAGAACAATCATTTAAAAATCTGCTATTTTTTAGAGACAAAAAAACGTTTGAATTTAGTGTATTTGAATGGACTATTGGATTAAGACTATTTGGATAAAGATTCTGTTTACAATAATACTCACTTATTAGATGTGCACTGAACGTTGGTCAAGACAGTAAAGTTGTTTCGGACACTTCGAAGGCTTGCTAGAACCTAGAAAAAGACAGAAATAACATAAAACTGTGAGTTAAACCAAGCACACGTCCATTTGAAACGCAATCCTTAAAGAAACATTACACTGATGTGTTTACCTGAGCAAAAGGTGTGACTATCAAGTCATCCCCATGCCTGTAATCAAGTGAGAATACATTAACATCTTGAGAGGTCGACACTCAAACAAAGCAAACACTATCATTTAAAGTCAACATGAAAACACAACTGAGCCTATTTTTTTAAATGGATGTCCTTGGTCTTATTGTGAACGATTCATTGGTTAATTTTAATCCAGAAAAGAAGACTGGCTCTTTTTCTGAAATGACTTTCCTTTTCCAGCTGACATCAACCAACCAACAACCAAATAGCTATTGATTGGCCTAGCAAACTCTTATTCTGTCTCGCTAAATTCCCGTCTTGCATTTTTTCATGGTAAATATCTGTAGTTTCAATCAGTAATATTTCACTCATCAGACTCAATTGTCAGATGAGGTTCCTTTCACTATCAGGGCCATAAATGGCACCAAAAAATGGGTTTCCAAGAACAATCCAGCACATTCCTCAGGGTTCAACAGATATTTGGCATCTAACGCTCTGGAAAATGCATTCTTATATAATTCCAGCCAGAAGGCTTGGGAAATAAGGCCTTGATTGAGATACGTTCTGGCATGCAAATTTCACTGCCGTGAGCAGCAGCGCATAAATCAACTCCACTAATCAGCCCCGCCTCCACCTTTACCCCGCAGAAATGTTTGGAAACAGAAATACTAGTGTTGATGAAAAAAGAGGCATATTAAACCACTTCAAAGTCCTCAGATTACCAGATGCTGGATGATTTAGTTGTGGTGACAAATAAATTAAAGTGTCTTCCTAGTAACTTGACTCATTAGTGAAGATGATTCAGTAATTACTCTTTGAAAAAGTACAAAAGTAAAGTAACTGAACTGACTATATCCTTCCTTAACAGATGCAATGTGCAGGAAAAAAGTGTTCAGGTTTACGCAGTTGTTTCCTTAAAAAAGCTTAAACCAACCTATGAATGTTTGCTGGTCTTGGCTGATATAACCTCTCTAGGGACCTGCAAACCAGTTCAGTTTGGAAGGCAAGACACGCAAGCCATTTAAGGCTGGTTTAAGATGTTGTTTTCAACAGGTTCAATACATAAAAGGTAGCTCTTAACACATTTAAAGCAACAGCAACAACAACGACAAAAAAAACCCAACTTTACTCACAGTTCTGAGGCGATAGAAGAATTTCGAGACATTGACTTTGGTGAGAGGTCATAGTCGCTGTCTGAGCGGTAGAGGAAGGACTCTCGCCGCTGATTGTGGCCGGGAAAGTTTGTGTGCAGAACCAGACCAGAACCTGGTGAGGCCTGGGGGTCCAAAGGACTACAGCTTGCAGACGGGCCATTTTCCACATCAAAACTGCAATGGCACAAAAACAAACAGAAAAAAAAATACATTAAAATTTAGGTAAGAACACATACATCTGTTTAATGGTCTTGGAATGCTGTCATTTTAACATACACAAATGACATCTCTATTATGTGTTCTATTCTCTGACATGTGTTCTATTACTTAACACACTTTTCTCTTACTGATGACTAAGACCTAAAACAAGTCAATACTGATCCACCTTGGCAATCCTCAAGATTCAAAATTATATATGGCTTAATGAAAATTTCAGGAGAAATACGCAAGCTGTCCTCTGGGACCGGAGAGCTCTGGAAAGTCTCAAAGATTCCCAGCACTTGGGGTGGAAGCACGTCTCATCTTTCCAAACCATAAGGAAACATAGTGGAAATGGTCTCAGCCCACATCAAAAAGAAGAGAAGCAGGGGAAACACATTACATTCAAGTCAAATAAACAGTTTCGAAAGACGCTTGTTTTCAGTTCAGATGTGCTTGCGATTTCAGAGGAAGCAGCGATGGTCTTTACACTCAGAGCGCCAGAGGTTTGGTGAACTTTCACGGTTACTCCAAACACTGGAGAGTCTCAAAGTAAAAAAAAACATTTGAAGTAAACTAGGGAATAGGAGAACCATTGAAAACCAGTTCCTTGTTTTGCTGCTGTTAACCAATGGAAATTTACTACACCACACATACATACATGAATTTGATAATGCTATTAGAATATCTGTCTAATGATAATGAGAGTTATTGAGATGTTGCTGAATGGCCTGATCCACGCGGAGGTCCGGCGTCTGACAACCAACAGCTAACACTGAATCAACATCCTCCTATTGTGCCCCCTTTTCCTGTTAGCCGGCCATTCACAACAACCATCAACAGCATTTGTGCTTTTCACACTGCATTTAACCCCAGTTTATCGCCTTTTTAAACCCAGCAAAGGAATGTTTCACACTTGGTTTTTTAAAAAGGGGTAAGCACATTTCTTGCAGTCATGGTCTGAGAAAATGTATTCAGGACAAATTCGATTGTAGTCAGGAATAAGTGCAAGTGCTGTGCAAGAGCGAAACAAGTCGTTATATAAACAGGTTGTGTGCTGTGTTTAATCAGTCAATGACACTGACACCTCAAATATGTAAATAAGAATGTTAACCCAGGTTTTAATACAAATGGGATCTGAATGTATGGATAATTGTTGGGAAATAACATTTAAATAACAGCCTGTACAACTGTTTTATACTCTAGGTATGTCATTTAAGAAGTTCAGATTGTCCTCCTTGGACAATAAATCGACAAAGCGCCACAGCCTCTAGATACCGGAATTCCCTGACCTTGGCATCTCTGTGAAATTTCATCTTCAAAACTCAATTATAAAAGCATCTGTTTACTTGGTCCTATTGAAGTGTTTATGTATTCTGCCTCTGTCTTGTGATTACAATCAATTCATCCCTCATTTTCTTGCAAATGTTTCTATCTTGTGTTTACAGTGGCCGAGAGAGCTCAACGCGCTGCAAATGAAAAAAAACCTGCAAATTAAGAAAACATCTTCATCAATTAGACAACAGACACACGCTGCAAATTCTCACAACACGAACAAATAAAGAAACGCGCTGCAAATACAGAAATGCGCTGCAAATTCTCACAACACAACCAAATACAGAAACACGCTGCAAATTCTCACAACACAAACAAAAACAGTTTGCACATGTAGAATGTAGAACCCTGCTTGTTGTGGTCTGTATACTTGTGCGTTTCTGTATATGCAGCGCGTTTCTGCATTTGGTTGTGTTGTGAGAATTTGCAGCGCGTATCTGTATTTGGTTGTGTTGTGAGTATTTGCAGCGCGTGTGTTGTCAAATTGATGAAGATGTTTTCTTAATTTGCAGGTGTTTTTTTCTATTTGCATGTGTTTTTTCATTTGCAGTGTGTTGAGCTCTCTCGGCCACCGTATGTGTCTTCTTTTGTCTATGTTTTCCTGTTTGCAGTGTAGCTTGTCCCATTTTGGTATTTGTTCTTCTTGTTTCAGTTGTTTCTTGTCATGCATTATGGAGTATGCTTGAGTTTCCTCAGATGCTACTTAAATAGTTTTTTTTATCAATATTGTTGTTATTGTTGCACAAAAGTACAATACAACTGAAAAGCATAAACCAAACTGCTTATTTGATAAATGAGATCATCAGTCAGATATGAGGAGTGAGATACTGCACTACGAAAAAGGAAAACCACAAGAGATTTTCTGATTTGTCCGCAATGCTTGTTTCTCTCTGCATGCACCAGCAACATATAAGTGAAGCAGCAACATTTCTGCTGCTGCGGCTCTATACAGAAACTAAAGTGATTTCTGGGTTACTACATTGATTATTTTCTTTAATAACACCCCTTATTATAAAATAGTTATAACATAACTTAGTTCTATAATGCTTATGCTACACTGCTTAAGTGTGAACATCCAGGAAGGGTGTGACAAGTTAGTAAACAACACTGCTTACAAATACTCGGTTTTAATAAATAGGTTTACATTTTGGTGATTTCTCTCCCTATGATATACAGTACATTCAGCCTGCTTGATCATTTATTCCACTATATAGAAGGCTTTATGATATAAAGTAAAAACCGCCATTGACTCAACATCAAATGCTGAACAAAAGAATCTAATCAGATGATGCAAAGCCAGACAAACACTTGCACGGAAACTGACTGACTGGCAGTTGTGGTTTTTTTCACTGTGAAAATGATTCACAGAGTGGCATTTCTTACTGCACTTTTTTTTAACAGTATCCTTTAAATGGAAATTCTTTGTAACAAATTTTCAATGTTAGTCTGACAGGCAGCTTCATAAAGTAGCTGTCGTGTCTAAAGCAGAATACACTTTTGAGGTCATTTGAGCTCCCTGGAGAGGTCAAGACTGAAAAAAAGCTACCAGGAAACGATACCTCTGACCTCAGCTGTAACCAGTATCTCTGATTCCCATGACATTATAATCACAGAGTTCATGTAAACGGTGATAGTAGCTTTACATTAACAGGAAATTAACAATCATAAGTTAAGTAAAACAAGTTAAGCACAACTTGGCCAAGTTGACATCTCACAACTTAAAGACCCCATGAAATCCACTGATGAGTGCAGCTTTCTATGATGTGATGATTTATGATGTGAAGTTTAGGCATTTTCAACATTTTTTTATTTAAATAGCCCAACAAACTTTATTTGCATCACAACCATGAACCACGATTTGCTACTTCTTGGTAGGCTCCGGGGGAGGGATATTCTCATTCTAGAGAGCATCTGATTGGACAAAAATCGACAGTGCAGGATGAGTCATAAATATATTTGATTTGTTTCCAAGAAGAGAAATACTACACTGTAACTTTTAAGTCAGAGCTAAATATCTGCTAAATGCTAATTCTGTCGATGTTTAGGAGTACACAAGCATATAGACTGTCTTAAAGAACAATCAAAAAGACAGACTAAAGGTCACAAAATACTGCAAAACTTCTCCATTATCGCTCTATGGCAGTGTTATTTTAGTATTATTTATATACTATTACATTAGTATTATATTATTTATATACTTTTATTTTATAGTTGCAATTTATACTTTAATTTCAATTTACGTTTTTTTTTTTTTATTTTGTTACGAGCTTTTGTTTTTTCTCTCTCTTTAATTTAAGTTTTAATTTATTTTTATTTCAGTTTTAGTATTAGTAATTTTAGTACTTCAACTTATATTTATTTCAGTTAGTTGCCAGGAAAACATTTGTATTTTTAGTATAATTTAGAGTTATTTAAATAAATATTTATATTTTATTGCAGCTTTATTTCGATTACTGAAATAAATATTTTTAATAGTTTTAGTTTTAGTCAACTATAACAACACTGCTCAATGAACAGGCAAAATATTTATTGTGACATGAATGGTTATCATCAACAATTTCAAGCTCAATAATACTTGACATCAAAGTTGACCATTTTCATCAAAGATCCTCTTGTTTTAAAGTTAAGATCTGACATTTTTCCATGATTGCCTCACTTGTTTTGATTTGTAATAATTGCACAGAGACAGAATATCACATGTATTTAAGCTAATGAAAATGTTTTTCAGCGATTAAATAGAATAAAGATGTTTAGTGTTTATATTCTCACCATGAAACAAAAAGGAGAGGATGTTGTTTCCAGTAAGCATCTAATTATCCTGTGACTGCTGTTGAGTCACAGTCTGGTAGCACATACAACACAACAATAGTTTACGTAGGGCAGCTCCAAAAGACATCCTCTACTTGTCTACTTTGCTTTAAGTGTTATTGCCACCACTCTAACAATGGTCCATCTTTACACAATGAGACATTATAATGTTTTTTTTTTTTCAAATCATAAAGGTCTCTCTCTGCCTCACATACATTTTCAGTTCCTCTGTCTGTTAGTGGAACTGTTTGACAAAATTACAAAGTGGACTTCACTGTAACATATGAGCAATTCTATTACTACATTATCAGACATCATATATCTTTTGTAATGCTGGATTTGCTCACATGTTTGTGGGGAAGAACGGGACTTCTAAGGCAAGTTGCACTGGATTCTACTCTGGCATCAGAAACTCAGAGACAGAGGAGGGAAGTTCATATGAGCCGGTCTGTGAGAATATTCAAGGCTGTGGACCCTGCTTTAAATGGCTTTCTATTAGACTGAAAAATGCAGAATGCTGTTTTTCCATGACATATTTCGGAAAAATCAGATGCCCAACTCTGGGGATCATTTAAGATGACGTGGTTGTTTTGAAGAAATCAGTTGGTATGCAAGAGAATGTTTGTTTGTGCCAACTTTAGTAGACTAATCGCAGTAGAAACACCCCCTGGAGTAATCGCTGGTGCCTTGTTTAAATCCCTGGTCCCAATGTCAACTTTATATTTGTTTTTTTCTAACCTGTACAGTATGTTCAGATCATTAACCACACAGACATACTGTAACACTAAAGGTATGACATAGTAAATACATTACAACAATGTTTGTCTTTTTTT